CTGACAGACTGTAAACAAGCCCACAGTGGGCTGTTTCATAAAACTGATTAGTAAGCATTGCTTGCATGCAGTCTGCAAATGGTATCAGCGCTTCCTTTCACAAATTATAAAGTGTGATGAATGATCACCGTGCACAGCCTGGGTCCTATTTTTATTGTTGCCCTTAATTTGACCTTCCGAGTAAGTTTGACTGGCCTGGGGGATTTGTTTACAGTCTGTACGTTTATCTTGCTTTTACTTGCCCTTTAACCACATCCGCCGAAATGGTGGGTAAAACTACAACAGCAGGATAGGATCTGCAACAGAAGAGACTCTCTGTTAAATAAGGAAAATGTGACGTAGAAATGAAGCTAATAATAAAGGAACGAGGATGAAGGCAGGCCTAAACACATGTGAGGGAGAGATGGAGAGATTTGTTGACGTTAAGCCAGTCCGTGGGTGGGTCTGGTCCTCAGGGTGAGTCACAGAGTGGGTGTCCAGCGGTCAGCTGAGCCAACGGGGCCATGAGTTGTTATAAGTGTGTGCGCATAGATCTGTATGTCCTGATTTTGTTATTTCTCCAAATGTATTCAGCAAAATGCATCACAACACCGTAGGCTATGATATTTTATGATTCCCTGCCAGTGTGCGTGTGTGTGCGCGTGTGTTTTTTTTTTTATATTAAATTCTACGTAAGCTCGAGCCTGAGTTACTGCTGAGCAATTCGCCCACCACTGAGCTTTTCTTTCTTCCTCTGCCCCTTCTCTCTGCACTCCCCCTTCTCTGCTCCCACTCTGGTTTTATCTCTTTTTCTGCCTGTTTCTCTCACTCTGCCTTATCTATCCTTCTTTCTGTCAGACTTTCTCCTGCTGCATTTTCTCTTTCACTGCCTCCCTTCCCGTCTTTTATCTGTCTGACTTTCTCTGTCTCACACCGTCTCTCCCTCAGTCTTTCTCTCTCTCTTCTGTTTTCTGCCTTTCCTCTTTCTGAAGGTACTCATTGCTGATGGCTCAAGAGCTCTTTTCATTCTATCTCAGTTGGTCTCAGTTTCCATCTCAGGCAGGTCACACTCTCTTAGCTCTCGTCACAGACTGCCTACAGCTCCGAGAAACAAGCATACTAAATGATTCCCGGCAAGAGGCTTTTGTTTGAGATGGGGATGGAGAAAGACAAAGAAAAATAGAGGGTTTATGTAACCACTCAGCTGCACAATTGACTTGCTCACTGACATGCTTTCTTCTTAGGTAAACATGGGCCTTTCATTTCTTACAAGACCTCTGCTGACCTTGGATTTCGCACAGAAGAAGAAAGATGGTGTTTCTTTGTGAATGTGCATGTGTGTGCGCACCCGTGCCGAGCATTGTGGGAGTATTTTCTTCCTTGTTTTATAGATTGCTACATTTGAAGATTTCAAAACTCCTGAGTATTGTTTTAATTATTAACATACTAAACAAGACTAATAGTTGAAATGTAGGAACAGCCAGACTTTACTGGTTTGTAAAGTCCTGCTTTGGAGCCCAGATTATGCTTTTGATTCAAAGTCAGGTCTCACTGACAAACCAGTGGCACTACACACTCATATAGACTTGTCAACATCAAGGTAGACTCGCCCTAAATTACATCCTGGTCTAAATATGACTGTGATTTACAAAATGAGCATCACCCTGTAGTGAGTAAGACTTGTAACTAGTGACTGGGAGCTCATTCGATAAGTGTTTACTGAGGCCACAAATGAACTGAGAAGTAAAGTCATTTTCCTCATAGACTTCTATACAACTAATGACTGTTAAAAAGGAGAGTCTAACATACTCACATTTTTACAGCTGTTTTCTAGTCTTAATGACTGTGAAAGTGCTTTAAACTACATGTCATATTTTAGCCATACAGCACTTTATTATACAGTCTTCAAGCACTTCATCGACCTCATATCATTGGACAACTGCTTTTTCTTCTTTAAGCTGCCCCCTTTTAGGCCTTGCCACAGCGGATCCTCTGCCTCGATCTCATCCTTTCCCTTGCATGCTGCTCTGTCACACCACACTTTTTAATGTTCTCCTTCACTGCATCCATGAATGTTCCTCCTGCCCAGAAGCTTCAGCATCCTTTGTTCAGTATATCCACTCTTCCTCCTCTGCACATGTCCAAACCACCTCAGCCTTGCTTCTCTAACTTTTTCTCTAATCTGCTCAATCTGAGCTGATTCTCTGGTGTACTCTGGCAATGAGCATTTTGTCATCTTCAACTCCAGGTCGATTTCCTGTCTCTTTGTCCACAAAGCACCCCTTACACTCATCTCCAACCACGCCACCCTGCCTGCACTCTCTTCTTCTTTAGCTCTCTTGTACACTGCCCACTTCTTTGGCTGGTTGACCCCAGGTGCATAAACTCATTCACCTTCACTACCTCTACTCCTTGCACTGGTTGACCTGTGTTCCTCCATGGCCAATTAGAAATCATTGGTTAACCAGCATGCAAGTCTTTGGACTGTAGGAGAATGCCAGAACCCACAGAGGAAACTTGCGTAGGCACAAGGAGATCATGAAAACTCGACATAGAAAAGTCCCGGCTGGAGTTCACACCGGTAATCTTCTCACTATGAGGAAACAGTGCTACCCACTCCACCACTGTGCCCACCAGAATGGAAGTTTGAGACATTTACTTGGGTGTGGGAATGTTTATTTGTGTAGAAAATAACATTTTATGCCTCTGATTCATCACTTTTTTGCTAACACCTCCCTCTCTCTCTTCCCTTTCTACATTCGTTTTCTACCTCACTCAACCACCACTGTTTGCTCTTGTTCTCACTCCCACAGCTCCAAAATTGAATGTAGTGTTTACAAACAGTACCCAACAGCTTCTGTGGTATATCTTAAAGTAGGTAAACTGAATTTTACCAAATATCGTGAAAATGATTGTGAGATAAGACAGACTGGCCCAAAATGGTACAAGCAGGCTACTTGACCAGTCAGAAATGTTTAGCGCTGAAAGCCCGAGTTCTTGAACTGTCAGAAAATAATAACCCCTCCGCAGGGACGTCTTTGGTGGGTAAAATATCATCATATAATCACTGTGGTGGAAATACAGTGATTCACTCCAAACATTTCTTGGGAAAAGATGCTTATTGGCTTTATTTCTCGGACTAGGAGGCTACATCAATTTTTTTTAAATATAATACAATCTGTTAGATACAGGTTTTAAAGCCAATCTAAACTGCAAGAGAAAACAAAGGCAAAAAGTTTATATATACTATCTAGAAAAAAGCATTGTGGGCTACACCTCATAATCTTTGAACTCAGGTGTGTTCAGTCCCGTTGTATATAAATGAAGCACCGTGCCATGCAGACTGGCTGCGAAGTGTCAGATTATGTCAAGTTACAAAGTGTGCAAGTGCGGAACTGCTGAGGTGCATAGCGCGTTAAAGTCACCAACACTCTGTGAATTCAATAACTGCAGAGCTCCAAACCTCCGCTGCCTTTAATATCAGCACATAAACTGTGCGCTGGGAACTTCATGGTATGGCTTTCCCTGGCTGAGCAGCTGCGTGCCAAGCATCAGGTGGCGTGATGTAAAGGACATCACCCGTGGACTCTGGAGCAGCTCTGTGAAGTGACAACTCACCCGTCTCTATCTGGAAGTCTGCTGGATGACACTGGGTTTGATAAACACCAAGAGAAAGAAAGCTGCTTGTGTGCCAGTTGTAAAGTTAAGTGGAGGAGGGTTGTTTTTCTTAGGTTAGCCTGAGCCTTTGGTTCTAGTAAAAGAATATCTTAATGCTTCAGCTTCCCAAGACATTTCAGACAATTCCATGCTTCCTTCCATACTTTATGGGGACAGTTTCCCGTTTCGCAAAACAGCATCCATGGAGTTATCGAGTCTGGTGTGGAAGAACTTCACTGGACTGCACAGAACCCTTACCTCAGCCCTAACCCATTTTAACACCTTTGGGATGAACTTCAATGAATAATGAGAGCCAGGCTGTCTTGTCTAACATTGGTGTCTGACCTCAAATGCTCTTCTGGATGAATGAGTAAAAATTCACACAGACACTCCAAAATTTCATAGAGGGCTTTCCCAGGAAAAATGGAAGCTGTTAGAGCGGCAAGAGGGAGCCAACTCCATATTACTATCTGTGGATTCAGAATGGGATGTGCCCATACTTCTTGTCCATATAATTGTATTATAATTATTAATGTTATAATAATCAGAATTGTTCATTATGACAATCCCTCGTGCTTCTTGAATTAACAATGGCCACTGCACTTACCATAACTGTAAGGAGGTTTCCTGTTCATTAAGGGAGTTGTACTTACATTTAAATGCAACTTAAACTACAGGAGTTCTTAATAATCCAATACCAGTGCTTCTTTTTTTTCTTTGTTCTACCTTTAGTTGTAATCTTTATGCCTCATTGTGTGCAACTCATTAAAATCATTTTCATGTACGATAACGTCAGGTCAGAGACTGCTGTGTAGCATCATGACTGAATTAATGCAGCAGATAGAGGAAACAATTAATCTTATAAAGACACTGATGAATGAACGCTATAATGAGGTCAGTACTGAGGCCATTTCCATTTTGGGTGTATTGGTTCAGTGCTTCCATGCCGCTTATTGCAATTATTCCGCTATCATAACCAATAGAAACGATGCTAACTAAACAGAAAAAAATAAGACCCAATTTGTAATAATAATTTGGCACACTCCTTTTTTGTAGTATATAAGTAAATAGATAATTAGAGTGTATATATAAAAAAGCAGGTGCACGATAGTACTGTGGAATCCATAAGCTGCTGTGTGCACCGTCTTGCCCACATTGCACGATGAGCATCATAAGAGCAGAAAATTGAGGTTTTACCGATCAACCAGTTACGGCTTATGGATTTTCTTTCCCTGACCACAGATTTAAAAAATACTTGATTTGGGTTATTTTTTCACAATGATTGGTGCACAAATCACGCTTTGCAGAAACCAAATACGGAGCTACTGGTTCCTGTTCACTTTTGGCAACTTAAAGTCACTCACCAATGTTGTGTATTTTGATGTTTGGCCTGACTGTGTAATCGGGAGTCTGAATGGAGTCCTCGTCTGCCTGGGAGACTGAGAAACACATCACAGCCACACATAGACAGAGAGAAGGAACGAAAGGAGAGGAAGGAATGAAACGCAGAGAGACAGAGGCAGAGAGAGTGAGACACAGACAAGGAGAGAAGACACTCCATTAAAACGACAGCACTGCGAAACAAGGGGGGGAGTGAATTTTAGGCACCATTAAATTCTGCACAGTTACAGAAGAAGATGAAGGAGTCCGTGTACCCCTGCCACTGAAAAAGCATGAAGAAATCGCGGACTTTGAATCCCCATTTGAAAACTAAAACATTAAAAGCATTTGGAACAGAATTCATTATCACATTCAGTGTTCGTGCAGACATGGAATTAAACTCAGTCTGCGCAGGCAAATTAACCATGAATGAATGATGTTTGGGTTGTGTCTATTCATCTTTGTGTATTTCTGCCTCTTTTCTTTAGCTAATATGTTTGTCTGTGTAAGCCTGTGACTGCGATACAGAGTTAGGTGGATGGAACAGCATTAACGGAGGACGCGCACAGAGGCTGGTAGCAATTTGCAGCTCATCAAGGATGTAAAGCATGTGTCATGAATATTCACATTTCTTTCTTATCTTAAATACTTGGAGGATTTAAGGTGGGACACACACACACACACACACACACAGAATGAAAAGAAGGCAGCTGAAACCAGAAATGTTTTTTGATAGCAAGCTGTTAAATGACCTTGTTAAGCAAAGGTTGGAGCTGGTAAACTGGCTAAATGTGCTCATGCATGCACATCACAGCCATAAGAAACAGTTTACAGTTGACATTCTCCCATGTGTAGACACATGTGCTCAAACTCCTACACACTCCTACGCACACAGATGCACCCAAACACACACACACACACAGAAGCAAACAGAGGCGTGGTAGACGCATCAATAGATTAGCAGTGACAGTGGGATGGGGGGTGGGGGGGTTGGTGTTAAGGTGATGTGTACACAGGGGCTGACACTGGCCTGAGTGTGGGATGTATTAGTGCTGACAAGGTTAGAGGGAAGGGGGAGGCTTTCAGCGCTGGGCTGCCTGATCAAAGGCCTGCAGGGAAGAGAGCAGGCTACCAGGGTAAAAATAACACACACACTACACCGTGCGGCAGGCTTCGGAGAGCAAGACAGAGAAAGAAGAGATAGTCAGAGAAGGAGAAGGAGGGGGTGGTCAAGAGAGCTGCGGGAGAGAGGTATGGGGAGTGACAGAGGAAGAGGAGGGCAGAGAGCTGGATCATGCAATTCAATCTATTTTTTTCTCTTTTACATCTTTTGTGCGTGTCACTTGCAGAGAGAGACAGCACATTACTGTAATAGCACAGAGACAGACAATAACATTAAGCCATCCGTCTCAAAGCACTGCTTCGAGGTAAAATACGCCATCATCAAAACCCTGCCAAGACAGCACGAGGCAGAAAAGCCTCTCTCTGAGACAGGACTGTCAGATCTTAGTTTTTCTGTGTATGTGTGTGTATGTGTGTGTCTTTGTCTCAGTTTCTCTCTGTGTTTGTGAGATACAAACAGATAGGAGGTGAGGGCAAATGAAGTGACACAGAAAGAGAGGAAATAGTATAAAATGAGCGGAGGAGACGTATACTAAGACTAAGGCAGATTTTTCTGGTCTCACCAGTGGAGCAGCAGACGAATACTCTCAGTCTCAGGCAGCTGTGACCGTGGTGGTGGTGCGTGGGCGTGGCTAAAACAGAGAGCAAACACACACAACACATGTCAAACTTGTGCCCTCTGCAGGCCGCACGATCCCCAGCAGCCGGCTGTGTAAACGGCAGAGCTGCAACTGAGCAACAGCCCGTCCTCAGCTGAACTTAGAATCTATTAGCAACACCCACGTACCATCAGTACATGTGCGTGGCAGCAGCTGAGGAAAAGCTCCTCATTATAATCTTAGATCAAAACAGTGAATGTGCAGCACCCTCAGTCTTTCGTGCAGGTGTTCGCAGGTCTGACTCACAGATGTAGTAGTACTCCTTGCCCACGTTGAACTCGTAGCCCAGGGAGAAGGCGCTGTAACGCTGGAACTTCTCTGAGAATTTGATGGGCGCATGGGGCGCATGGGGCCGGTTGCACTCCCAACGCTTGGAGCCCTTCTGGGTGTTGCAGGTGCGATAGCCGTGGTAGTCGACCATGTAGAGGATGTACTGCTCTGCTACGACACGCTCTAGCGTCCCACGCTGACTGGTGTTGTAGTGCGGGCAGTAGATGTCCAGGTAGTCGTTGACACTGACTTGCACCGTGTATCCCTCCCTTCGGAGGCTGACATAAAAACAAAGACAGAAATAAGATAAATGCATTCAAAAAAGGCAGAAAGAAATGTGGGTAAGTGACTATGGAACCTCTCTAAACCTCCTTCACTATCTGTTAAAGGAATAGCTCAACATTTGCAAATCACAGTCTAGGTAACATTTTCTTTTTAGCCAAAAACCAGCCTGCACACATTTCCCTGGAAAAGAAAAACTCGTTTTTGGATAAGTGAGCTTTCGCAGAGCTTGTAGATGAAGTCTATTACACTGGTATCAATTTTCTCATTTAATATTCAGCCAGAAAGCAAATGAACATATTCCCCAGAAATGTCAAGTAGCTGTTCAGTAAATAAAACCTAATCGCAGTGAAAAATACCACCACGAGATGAAAAAAAGTTTTTATGATCAACACTCTGGAAATGCAACGATGCAAAACAAAGCAGCAAAGATTTTACCGGACTAATAGCTGTCAGTTAATTTCTGCTTCATAACTAACTGAGCAGCTGGTTAACAATTTCAACAGTATAGTTAACACAAATGTAATGCAATGAGGGCTTAAAGAGAGTTAATCCCCTCAGCGTTTTCTTCAAACCTTGAACTATTACATCTTTCTCCTCCCTCTGCATATAAAAACACACATTTTCCCACCAAATGCCCGGTGGCAATTCCAGGGAATCGTGCTGAGAATCATAATCTGTACTCCTGTCTTTTCCCCAGAGCCAGCTTCGGGCCAGGTCAATGAGGTGGAAGGAGATTCTGTCAGCGGCGATGTATGCTCTGGCTGCAGGGGACTCGGTCTACACAGTACACATGATGGAACAATGTCCCCTTTTAGCATAAATGAAATCCACTCTGAGGTTAAGAATATATATAAATATATGTGTGTGTGTGTGTGTGTGTGTGTCTTGTACAGTAACCCTTCAGTCGATTTAAAACAGAGGAACTGAACTGAACAACCTAAAGAGTGATGTAATAATGTCCCACACTGCCACCATGCTGTTACCAACACTGTTTGTAATGCTAAGTATACTTATTATGTAAATTACACAATCTGTAATTAGACAAAGTAGAAGTCATTAGAAGGGCTCCTGCAGGTGAGCTGATGAGATGGGAATTGTCCTAAGTTGCAGCGATGTGTAACCCACGCCAAGTGCCCGCAATGACTCATACTAACCATTAGGTGGTGGTATTGTGCTGTATTATATGGGCAAAGATCACCCTTCATATTCTCTGCACCATTATTATTTGTTTCCTGTTGGTTGGCTTCTCTTTCTTACACATTATCTGCTTCACAAAAGAAAGCACACTTTAACACTCTCATAACCACTCCTCACTGTGCATACATTATGCCAACACATGCACACACTGCTGCTGAGAGGATCACACTAACATGCACACGTGCATGCGTTACTGGGTCAGGCACCCAGAGATATTTTTCATTCAATCCCAAAATGAAGATCAGAAATGTCAGACCCTTCTCTATCACTTTATTACTGTGCGGATCACTTTTTCTGGATCCTCTCGCCCACTCTGATAATATTTTCTCCTCCGTTTTCTCCCCTTTTCTTCATGTATACACACATGCTGAGGCAGATGAATATCAATTCTCTTAACCAGTGTTCTTTTTGGGCCATCAATCTTATCTGTGCTTTCTATCCCCACTGCTTAGATGTGAGATGACAGACTTTTGTCTTGCAGTGTTGCGGGAAGAGACAACACAGCTATGCTTCAAAGGGACTATATTTAGAGAGGGGGTTTGTGTGGTGGAGGAAGGGAGGAAGGTTGAGATGGTGAGGAGAATGGAGGGGTAGAGAGAGATAAAGAGGTGCAATGGGCGTAGGATAGAGAGAATTTGAGGGAGACATGAGATGAAAGTGCAAGATAGAGGGTGTGCTGAATAAAAAATATGCATTCAGGAGAATCCTGGATGCAAGTTAAGTCAGGCGGACTCACCGTCACTGAAAAATAAGTGTGTGAGAAGACTTGAATGCAAGGAGGGAAGAAGATCCAGCGAGAGAGCATCTGTGCTTGAGTGCTCTATCATATTCATGGATGAAAGGCCACTGGATACTGCTGAGACAGTGCAGCAAATGCAGCAAACTAGTCTGCAAAAGCATTTGTTCTTGAGCATTTGCAGGTTGGAGAGATACATTTTTTAAAATATGCAAAACGGCTCAAGAGTCTTCTTAAATGTACAGCAATGTCTTATTGTCCCTTTCCATGTAGCTTGAATGTAAAAGCTGGACAAATTTAAATGCAAGGATAAGTTTCATCATTAATAATGTTTAGAAGAATCCAATGATTATTCAGCCTGTAAAACGGCAGCGAAAAATGACCATTACTATTTCATAAAGTTTTTGCTTTGAGCGTTTTTCCTGATGTATTACTTTAATAACTTTATCCAAATAGCGGCTGATCTGCTTTCCGCTTTTCGATGACTCATTTCAGCACTTGCATGAAGATGCGGCCCCGTTCTTTTCCTCCTTATTGTTTTGGTTAGCACCTACCCTAGCTACACAGCAGGAGGACTGTTTGTTCCAAAACTGGCCAGCAAATGAGGAAGCTTGGGAAGAAGAGAGGAAGAAGGGGAGGGGAAAATGACACGGTGGGAAAAACAGAAGGTAAGGTGGGGCAGAGGAGAAAACAAGGAGGAAAGGAGACTAAAAGGGTGAAGTGAGAAGACCAGGCTTGCTGATGGGTGAGAGGAGGCGGGGAGTCCCTCTAGGTGTATGCTGTTATATAAGCAGTCCATTTAGTGGCACAAGACAAAAAGGTTGCAGGCCAGAGAGGAATGGAGGGAGGAGAGGAAAAGAGAAGCGGAAAGAGGGGGTGAGAACAGATTTAATAACTTAAGGTAGGGGGAGGAAGAGGAAGGGTGAGGGGGGTAAAATGCTTCAAATGATGACAACAACAAAGAGTAAAGCACAGAGATGGAGGCAGTGGCCTAGACAGAGACACAGCACCCTCTGGGGATGGACATATATGTGGTAAAAGTGCATAAAAAAGACTGATGGATCTCATTCGCCTGTTGTCTCTCCTTCCCTGCACCCTTTATCCAAGTCGTTTCCTCCCTTTCCACTGTGCATTGTGTCTGCGGTGGTTTTGCTGTCTCATCACCATTTTCCTATGAGTGGGAGTGCACAGCTAGTTAGTATAAGCAGCACAAGCTGGTGAAGACTGCCAGGGGAGGAAAATAGCAGGGGAGAGATCGAGAGAGTGAGAGAGGAATGTGGGGGGGTTAAAAGAGAGAAAGAAGAAGACAGGAAGAATGAGACAAAGATAGCACCATTGCACCTTTCACGTCTGTGCTAAAAAGAGCCTTAGGAGAATACTGCCAGTAATAAATAACAATGGTGAGGTAGCGCTACAGCATGAGACACTTACAAACATACAGTGCACAAAAACGGTGCATTTAGCACAGCCACAGGAAATCCACAACTGCTGCAGTAAAATGTAAAAGAAATCCTAAACAATCATATATCAGCAGCTTGGGGCAGTAAGGGATTACGAATTACAGTAGTGCAATTTCTTTGCCTGTATAAAGTTACACTAATTACACATTAAATTTTCAGTAACACTGTTACTTTGACACATTGTAGGCTTGCTCACAGCCTTATTGGAAGTTTTTTCCTGTCTGTGGGCAGGCTGTGGTAAATTGATGAGGGGGCTTGTCAAAAGTGGAAGGCGGCTAGCCTTTACCAAAAAAGAGGAAGTGCACCTCCTGCACTGGCTTGTTAACAAGGTACGTGTCCATTCAGGAGGCGCTCAGCTTTGTTCCAATTTGGAGAGTGTAAGAACTGTGAGCAGGAGGTTGGGACTTCTGGAGAGCTGTGTGTGGTCACTGAGGCTAGGCTAACTGCTGGACAGTCAGTTAATCCATCCAGATTTTGTGCCGCTTGTTAAAGGGGACGTTTTCTGCTTTTTTCCAGTTGCAGTTTTGGATTTACACGATTCACAATTTAAGATATTCCTCATTCATTTAATACTGAGCTTTGATGTAACCCTTCAGTTCGGCTTTCTAATGATATAGGGACTCTCTCAAACAAAAAGAATGAACCGCAGATAACTGGTGCTGTCATCTCGAAATGACTGTATTGAGGATTTTCTCCATTTCTGACATCAGAATAAGCTGCTGAATAAGCTGCATCTGAAGTCTGACATTTTACACTGAGTTAAACTGAACAACATGATATTTAGTTAGCATTAAAAAATAATTTTAAAATAGCTGACATGTGCCTACATGGTGTTTTACACATTCAACTTTCAACACGGACACACACACACGCACGCACACACATAAAACAAAAAAGAAAGAAATAGCTAATGTACTCCTGGTGTGGTTCTCAAGTCTAGATAAATGGAAGAGTTACTTCAAGAAAGTGCATCGATGTTAAATCTGTGTCAGATAAAACATGCGGATCCATCCACTGTGGTGACTCCATGGAAGGTCATATTATTATGAAATCTTATATAAAACTTAGAGAGAATAAAGTTTCAAGAAGGATTTTCGTACTTAGTAAAAGCAAAACCATTTGTGGACCACAAAAAACTCCACATTCTCTTCATTCACTGGTTTCACTGTTTCCCAACCATTTTTATCTATATAGCAAAAAAGGCCTCTAAGGATAATCCATAATACTGATTACAGAGATCATACGAATTCACTATTCTTAAAATCAAAAACATTAAAATTCATTGATCCAGTTTTTGCATCTCTCTATGTGGAGCGAAACTGTGGAACAGACTGAATGATGAGCTGAAGGAATGTCCAAGCCTGACCCAGTTTAAAAATATACGGTTTTTCAGAGGTACAGGAAGGAAGAAGGGCTTTGATCAGGTGCTGTGACCCATCTATGTGTGTATATGGATATCTGTTGGCGTGCTACTGTGTGTGTTTGTGTGTGTGTGTAAGTGTAGTAAACAGTAAAGAAGGTTTTAAACAATGACACAAAGACAAAAGGTGATGACTATTTATTAAATAGTGGGCTTCTTCCTACTCCTTTGCATCTGTCT